GTCAGGGTTAGTTGAAGTAAACCTGCTAGGGGGCAGGTTAGCTTCACGGAGTGTGTCGTCATAGTAACTCACTCAGAATTAATCTAAACTCGCTTTGTGAAACCGAAAACCCAGAGTTTTTGTTAACTCAGGGTATACTTACTCAGAGTTTGCACTAAACCAGCTTTCTGAAACAGGGCCCAGCTCATAATTTTCTCCATAGCTCCTCTGATATTGGAGGACTCTGTCTGGGCAGTAGAAGTTTTAGCACCTTCAAGTGGTGAAGATTCTCCATTTCCATTTTCTATTTTATTATGATGAAAAAAACACAGGAGACTTTGTATAACTTGCAAATCAAAAAATTGTCAAAGTCAATAAATTAGAAGAAAATCATGTCTTAAAAAACAGCTTCTGCAACAAGCTACTCTTCAGCACCCCAAAGAAAACAAACACAACACAAAAACAAAGCTTATCTAGCTTGCTTTTGCAAGTTGTATGCCCAAAGTTCCCTGTAAATATATGTTCGGTCAACATGAACAATGTTTTATATATTGCCGAGTTTTATACACTACACAATCATCGGCATATTAAAATTTTATTTTATGGGCGCGACTCCGGAAGCTGAAGTCACGCTGTGTGACTGGAAAATCTACAGCTTTATTTTCATGCCTAACTGCGAAATTCTGGTCAGATACAGATGTTAAATGTTCTTGACAGGGTATGAGTGATGTACTTGATGGTTCTGTGTGTCTATTAACACATTTGCACTGCAGAAGTATATTGAATAAATAAGCTCATTACCATTTCAGTACTAATGGTGGGATTTTATTTGGATTTTAAGCCGAATCACCGGAAAGCTCCATTCGCCGCTGGATGATCAGTCTTGAGGGGCACATCATTTGCGAGGGCATCCAGCCGACTTTTCTGTCCGGCCTCGCTGCTGTCTTTTCTACTTACTACATCTTCAATCTTCAGTATCAAGACGATGCTGCATGCACACTGGAATTCATTCAAAGGTTAGATGAGTACATTTTCCAGCTGTTAATTTGTGATGTGAGGTCTTTGTGCTAAAAGGCTTGCAAGAACCCGTTCCTGTGTCACTTTGGATCTGACCACACATTTGTTTTTTCCAGGCGATTGATTGGGATAAATCCCGACACAGGCACCAAAGTTCCACAAGGCAAATTCCCGTCAAAGGAGACTGGGAAGTTCACACAGGAAAAGACTTCGCCAGTCAACCCCCAAGTTTTAAAACTGTTAAAGAAACTAATGGATGTGAACCCAGCTGTTTACACCCACACAACCATGTTTCCATCACTTCAGGGGACATCAAACTGACATTCATGTTTGTTTTCGTGGAGAAATCCAAATTTCTGGGGTCTGAAGAACCTCTTGGAGCAACGGCCGACACTTTGGAGCTTGCAGTGTAGTGGCTGGATATCCAGACCAGAACTTTGGGTCCCATGCACTGGTCATAGTCTACATTGTCGGTTTTAAAGAGGTATGATGTCATCAGATTGTTTTGAGAGTGCACTTTGACTAGTGCATTTGTCTTTCATTCTTCATTCGGACTTGCTGCATGCACCAAGTACCAGAAAAGTTTCTGGTGCCACAGATTCTGCAGACTGTTTATACAGATCACCCTTTGCCTTGCTTAAGACTTTGAAATGTGCAAATTCAAAGTGTGAAAGAAACAAGGAACAAATACAACTTTATGCTGTTTTCTTTGTTCGGGTTGACTTATGTTCCCCAATGCAAGCTGCTGTTTTCTAGCAGAAACTCTGAAGTACTATATTTTGTTTACTGTACACCTTTTTTTAAATTACTGTAATTAAAGTTACATTTCTGGGGTAAGATTTGGGCATTGTTTTACATTTCCTGTTTATCTTAGTTCATTGTTTACACACTGACTGCATAAAGGGCCATCTGCAGTACTATGTTTATTTACTATGCAGTACTATGTTTAGTACTATGTTTATTCAGTATGTCACAAAGTTCAAATCCTCTCAGAAGGGTTTGTACAACACGACAGTGATGCAAGCATGCCAAGTCAGCCAGTGGATTCAAACTGAGGATCTTAGTGGAATGAAAAAAAAGTATATATATACAGGGAGTGCAGAATTATTAGGCAAATGAGTATTTTGTCCACATCATCCTCTTCATGCATGTTGTCTTACTCCAAGCTGTATAGGCTCGAAA